GAGCTCGGCAGAGAGATGATGAACTTGCTCACATACTAGGAAAGTCATGGTCACAGGGCTAAGGGAAAACAAATCAAGTCTCTAAGTCCCACAGTGAGAAGTCTTTGGTTTGCTGCTAGAGGCAGGAGTAAAAGGGCCATACTTAGACTCTGCGTAGAGGACGGTGTAACTGAAAGGAATTTGTTGAAAGTCCAGATCTGTCCAGGTGCTCTTGGCCCTGCCTTTGCATCCATCCTACTTCAGGTTAGACAACATTAAATCCCAGGAGCTTCCAAGTTTTTATGGTCAAATGTATTCATGAACCACAGTGCAATGGAAATAAGTTTGTATCTTGAATAAACAGATAAAAGACTAGAGATTTAATTTGTACTCTGCTTTCTGTGAGAAATAGCCATAACTGTACTCTTCTATGTGCAGAAGATAGTCTGATTAAACAAATAATTATGGGGACTAAGAGCCTAGCATTGAAGTCACAGCCTGCCTCTAGATCTAATCTGAGTTTCCAACTCTCTGTCCGTGTTCTTAGGATAAGATGTAAACAAGGATCGGCGATGACTGAGCAATGGTGAGTTTCTCTCCTTAAAGGTCTTCAGGTCACGTGACTTTGGAGTATTTTCAGTATTTTATCTGAATCCTCTGTAGTTGATTAGTAGGTCTTATTGCCGATTGAGTTCCCCCACTCATGCTCTCCCCTTCCCTCCCCCCAATTTAAATGTCCTCATGAATGTTATTTTCTGCATATTTAAGGGTATCAGTAGTGTTCATCAGAGGAAGGCTAGAGGGAGAGAGCACGGCTTGGGGACAAGGCACTGAGCAGGGAGCAAGGTGCATGGGCAGCTGTGCGATGTTGGATGAGCCATTTAACTTTCCTGAACGCAGTGTGCTACTCTCATTAGAGGTTCCTTTGACAATAAAATCCTATTGTGACCCTTAGACAGAAAAATCAAATAATGCCTAATGCTTTCAGCACATACGACAGAACTACATTAGTGTTTATGAATGTAAGCTATGTGTAGTAGCATCAACATGATATAAATAGAACAATTAGTGTATCTTGGAGGTATTAAAAGAGGTAATGCACCCTTTTTCATCCTCTTCCCTTTCTGTTTCAGTTCATAGCTTTGCTGTTCCTAGGAATTCTAAGGATAATGCTATTTAATATTAGCAAGAATTGGACATAATCGGGTATTTTGTGGTGTAGTTGTCTTTAGTAGTTTACAAGAAAGGCTGTCCCCAGCGACATGCTTATGCTGTTGCATTCTTGTCTTAGCCTAGGGCTTTTCTTCACCTCGACTCTTTCTTCTCCCCAGAGTCCTCTGTCAGCAGCAATGAATGCTTAAGTAGGCTCTGTCAGGAAAACTCTTGGTGACCCTGGAAACGGTATTTAACCTTTCCATGGATCAGCATCGAAATTGCAAAGCAAAATTGACAGGAGCTGCCTCTTTCACAAGTCTGTGACTTATGACTAAGAAAAGGGATTGTACGACACTGAAAATCCTCAATACTGCAGACAGGTCGAGTAACGTTAATAATTCACCAGCTCATGCCTGGCAGCCATCACCAGACCCGTAAAGCCAGTTGCATTGTGGTTGTCCAGGTCATTTCCTACTGGAAATGGAAAAAACTCAAATGACAGAAACTTTCACCAATATTGGATGATTGCTAACAGGAAAACTGTGGATTTTTTAAAGTGCTTGTGAGGCATATCAGTGCTGTAATGCTGTTTCTCCTGTAGTTAAGCCAAGGCCATGAGCTGTTAGTGTGGCTCCTTTCATCAGCACTAAGTTCACAAAAGTCTCTTATAACAAGGGTTTTTTTTTTTTTTCTTTTTTAAGAAGGAGAAGAAAACAGATTTGGCATAAGCTGTATGACAGCCACAATGAGGCTTTCTTATATATGAAAGACATTGACAATCAGCCTCACGGGGTTTATGTAATTTGAGAATATAGCTTTAAAAATCATATTACAGGCGGCAGTACTTAAGATTAATACAAAGGCCATTTACCTTTTTATTACATGTTTTATTAGCACTTAGCGGCTTGATTTATGAAAGAAAAGAATTGAATATAGTGTGTCAAAAGAGAAAGACTGCTCTATAAAATTAACCTTATAAGAAGGTGACACTGCACTCCTCAGTTTTAGGAGAGAAAGTCATGGAAGTTTTCTGCACAATGTAGCTGTGAGTTCTCTGGGAAGTGATCTCCCAAGAAGAGCTAAAGAAGAATTAAGAGATGACTTCCCTTGGGAAGTAGAAATTGTGGGAAGACCAATGGAACATGTTTATTATGGGATGTGGGGGGGGGACAGTCCAGACAGAGGGAATGGCATCTGCAGATCCCTCAGGTGAGAGAGAGGTTGGCATCTTCTGGGAGCAGGTAGAAGAACAGTGTAGCTGGGGTGTCATCAACATGGTGGGGCATGACAAAGTGAAGTTTAACAGATATACAGTTAAAACTCTTTATTAAAAAGTATAGTTTGTGAAACAAAACCTTAGTTTACTTATTGATGGGTCAAAGGTTATTGTGTGTATAATAAAATTCTGGACATAAATTTTAACATGGTGATTCCATTTCTAGAGATTCTAAGGACATAATCAAATATATATAAAAGAGGATTATATCTAAGGGTGTTTATTATAGTTTTGCTAACTTTTATTTTTTTTAATCACACTCAGTTTCCATGGTTTTATTCTTTAGACAGCTTTCTATACGATTGGTTGTATTTTTGTTATTCCTTACTTTTTTCTGTACTAATTTAGAAGTTTTTAATTGTATTTCTACTTTATGTTACCTTAAAATTTTATGTGCCTTCTTAAATTCTAAAGTTAAACAATACATTTATATGCTCCTGTGAACCAACGTCAGGTCCTTGCAAATCCCTAACTCTGAAATCTCCCATTTTCTTGGTCTTTGTCCCATATTTTAATCCCCTTGTTTTAAAATCATTTCTGTTCTAGGTTCTAAATAATTAATTCACTATTAGCTGTGCCTGCTCCTCTACTATTTGACATTTTTACTCTTTTAATGTGAAATAATTTCAAACCTAGAGAAAACTTGTGAGAATGGAATGAACTTTTTTTTGGACATATTTTAAAGTGGCCGATGTGATGCCCTATCACTTCCAATTACTTCGGTGTATAATTCTTACAAACAAGGACATTCCCCTATATAATCACAAACAACATCAAAATCAAGAAATTAACATTGATACTTTACTACCGCCTACTCAGATTCCTTTCAGGTTTTCTCAGTTGTCTCAGTAATGCCCTTGATAATAACATAACTTAGCACAGAATTAGGCATTGTGTGTAGTTGTCTTGTTTCTTTAGTCCCCTTCGGTGAACCGTTCCTCAGTCTTCCTTGACTTTCATGTTGAAACTTTTGAAGATTACAGGTTAGTTATTTTGTAGAATGTCCCTCAGTTTTCATATCATTGTTATTTCCTCATGGTAAAGTTCCAGTTATGTAATTCGATAGGAATATCCAGAAGTGATGCCTTATTCTTCTCATTGCTCCTATCAGGTGGTGCATGGTTTTGATTTGTCCCATTATTGGTGATCATAACTGTGATTAAAGTGATAACTGTCAGAATTCTCCACTGTAAAGGTACTCTTTATCCCTTTGTAATTGATGAGGATTTTGTGAAGAAGTTCTTTGCAACTATGCATCCCACTTCTTAAACTTTCACCGAGCAGCTTTAGCATTCATTGATGTGTCTTGGCTGAATTAATGATTACTCTGACGGTTGCCAAATTGTGATTTTCTGATTTCTTTACTCTATCTCCATTTATTCACTGGCACTTGACTCCAAGAAAAAGTTTTTTTCCCTCCATGTTTAGGTATTGATTTATTTATTTATATCATTATGGACTCATGCATTTCTGTCTTGATGCTCAAATTGTCCAAAAATTGGCTAGGAATCCCTTTACACTGGTGTCTGTGTCTTTGATTTTTTTAGCCATGTTTCTTTGAGCATTTTCCTACTTTTTGGCCTGAAGATGTTCCAGGCTCACCTTATACTTTCCTTGTCCCAGCTCAGGAAGCAGCCTTTCTCCAAGGAGCCCTGTGGTTCCTTTTAGTGGAGAGTGGTTATTTAGAAACTGAGATCTGAGTGTTAGGTGTACTCATTGCTGTTATGCCCAGATCACTCTCCCATTCTCTATCTCTCCTTCTATATGTATCTATTTAGATACATACACACACACACACACATATATATATATATGCTTCTGTCTTTACTTCCCAAATTATGTATATTGACACTATTGACACCTATAAGTTCCATTAATACCTTCAATTCCAGTCCACTTTATTCTTCCTCTTTCCACATTTGCTACTCCTCTCTCTAACAGTAAGGAAATCAACTTCCTTTAACTTCATTGTATTTATTTATTGCCTTTGTCTACCTGTATGTGTCCCGTTTATCATTGCATCTGTGCCCCCCACTCATTGACCTTGCACAGACACCCATCATGGTCAGCTCCATTCAGTTACTTTTGAATTGAAACACTTAAATTAAAAAAAATTGCATTGATCATACATTTTTATTTATAGAATTTCTTTTTTAAAAACACATTTATATCTAATCCTCTCTTCTTGACATTGATTGTCTGTTCTTTTCTCTATTTCTTTGATCATTTGACACTTACTTTCATATTTATTTGCAAGTTTCTTTTGGACTGCTCTGTTATCTTCAGTCTTAGGGTTCAAACGATTCCATTAGTTGCATCTACTCACTCTGCTTCAGCCTAGCTCACTTCTGTGTAGGACTTAACAATTTTTCACTGTGAGCAGTTCTTTGATAGGGGTTGTTTACCACAGCTGTCCCAGTGTCCTGGGTTATGGAATTGTCTCTGTGGAGTCATTCCTGTGGAATGATTTCGTATTTGCCTCTTCCAAGGATTTATGAGTTTTACTGGTTTGGACAAACTGTTCTATTAGTTTCTTATGTTGGGATTTCCATACCCAGGGGATATGACCCTCTTGCCTATGGCACAGGCTTGGTGCTCTGCTTTCCTGCAGGTGGTTCTTTTTCAACCTTATTCCTCAAAACGTGACCAGCTTCTTCATAGCTTTCCAAGGCTGGGAAGCAGAGTTTGTAGAATAGAGTGCACAGGCCTCTCGTCTCCCAGTTGTGTGCAGAGTTTAGTTCTGACTCTCATGGCTGTGACTTCATGGCTGTGACTTCTCCTCTCCTATTTGCTGACTCGGTTAAATTGCAGCCTCCAGCCCCTATGGCCTGTCTGACTCTAATACCCCTGGTGAGTGATTTCATCTCCTACTCATCTTTAAGGCTTTTAGTTTTCTCTTACTTGGCCATGTATTAAAATAGTTTTTTATTTTGATTTTTTTGGTTGTACATTGGTGCACATTTTAATGTTTTGATCAAGGAAGTATGTAAAATACTGTAAAATATTGACTTAAATGTTTAACTACTGCTGGAAATAAATTATAATGTAGTTGTAAGATGGAGTAATATGTAACTATTACAAATAATGTGATTGAAATGCAATTAAGTGGTTAGAAAATGCTTAATATTAGGTTAAGAAGCATAATATAAATTTATAGAATGTTTATTATGTAAAAAATATGTGTAAGAAAAATGTCTATAAGAATATACTAGACTGGAATGTTAGGAGTAACTGTCTCTGGTTTGAGGGATTAGTCTTGAGTTAATTTTATTTTTTTGTAGAGATACAGAAAAGTAACTTTGACAAACATTCCTAAACCATAGAATTCCTCAAATAATAAAAATAACAATACATCTTGACTGGTCACGCCTTAAAGGTAAAAACAGTTTCTAGGAGGTTTAACTCTAAGATTTTCCCTACATTTGGGATTGAATAAAAAGTTTTGAAAGTGAGTAAGGCACTTTGATTTCAAACCATTGTGAGCGTTCTCAAAGGGATTTTATTACTTGAGTTTGAATTGAATATTAATAAGAAACAATTTTCATATGATTATCGAAGTTACATTTAAATAAAAATTTGTAACTTAGCCAAGCTTTGTTTTCCTTAGAGTACAAGTATCAAATTTTGAATTTTAAACTCACTAAAATAAGAAATACTACTAACTATTAGTCTGTGGAAAAGCATATATATTTGTATTCAAGCTGATTTTTATAGTTACCAATAAAAATTATGCATTTCAAAATCATCTGTGTAATCAAAGTCTGAATATCTGTGTCCAGTTGGTTGTTTCATTTTAGAGTACACTGAAGGGAATTCAATTTTGAATTGTATAGTTTTAATAAAAATAACAAAACAAAACAAAAACAAAATATTTATTTATTTTCCTGTGGTATCCCAGAAGCAGACTTTAATAAAGGGGGTTGTTTCAGACACTTTACTATCCTTTGAGCATTTAATGTATTTCTTTGCTTGTTTAACTCTTGCCATTTATCTTGCTTGGAAATGCTTACAACTGTAACTCATATTGCTAATTATTATGTTCTTTTGAATCAAATACATCTCCGTGATCATTTGTGACTGTTACTCAAATGGCTTTTTTTCTCTTCTGTTTCAAGTCATCCTTCTCATCAACATTCTCTGTCTGTATTCGTTACTGTTGTTTCATAGTCTCTTTTAGAGCTTTCCCCTTCTTTTCATACATAGACAATGATACTGTTTTTACACACTGGGGTAGACAGCCAAGGCTGCTTGCTCCAGGAGCCCGAAGGCTGACAGAGCATTATGTCAGATCACCTGTTTTCCGTTAGCACACCTGTACCCTTAGCAGGTCCTGCCAGTTGGGAAGCCTTGGTTTGTTCCATGTTGTCTCCGTTTCATTAGGACTTTGTCTATGTCTCCAAGTGCTTCAGCCATTTTACATTTATTAAAACTTTAAAACTTTTGAATAAGTGAACCAATACATATCATGTATCAAACTATTTGATTAAGTAATCAAACTGTCAAATACCATAGCTTTTAAAAATGATCACCACCTATGTGTCACCAGTCCTCAACAACATTTATAAGTAAGTGGGTGTGGCTGTCCTGGAATTACTGGGTTCCTTGTGGGTGAGTTGCCTTGAGTGATTAAGGGGAAAATATTGGCAGCTGAATCTTGAGATCTTGAGGAAATTTTCTTAAACTTTTGTAAACATGCACACGTATTAGATGTTGGTTTTTTTGCTCTCCTCCTCTCGCCTCCCTCCTGTCTTCTCCTCTCCCCTCTCTCCCCTTCCCTTCCTTTCCTTTTTCTCTTTTGAACTTTAGTGTTGGAACAATTTAAATTTATGAAGAATTTATCACTTTTTGAAAAGTTTTATCTTACAATATAGGAGTTATTTATTTATTCGATAAGGAAAGACCTGTGCCCAGGAACAATTCCCAGGAGAAAGTAATTTCAAAACCATAGTATTTCAGAAAGAGTTGCTACCTTCTAATCTGGAATTTGTGTGAAATAAAGAAAAATGGCCCTTTTAAGTGGAGACAGGAACACTTAGTAAGCAGTTTACTTTGTGCTACATACTACCTCATCTTTTCTAATATAAATTAACTGTTAACATTATTACATAAAATAACTTAAGTTATATACAAATGACATTTTCCATTTTTACCTTTGCTGCCAACAAGCCACAAATGGAACTGATATCCAAGCACAATTATAATCTCCCTTTAGTTTTCCAAATGTAATGGTCACTCTCCTTCCTTTATATGGTTATTTATTTTTTATCTTGAGATGTTCCAGTGCATCTATATTTTTATTAAATGCTCCTTCAGATCCTTTTTTTGAGTAAGCAAACCTGAATAAATAAAATGAGAATTGGGATAGATGATCTTGAATGTACCTTTGGACTGGGAATATTTTATTACTTTATGGTGAGAGCATAAAAAGTTACTGGATATTCAAAATTCTCTCTTCTCATCTTTCAGGTTGAGGGTAACTTGCCCAGTTCCTTGTATCTTAATAAAAATACCCATCAAATTTGCCCTTTTGTGAGATAATTCCTCTTTGAGCTAGAGAATGCCTAATTTAAGGTTTTGGCTCTTCACAACCATTTCACGAACTCCCATGATCTGTGGGAGCATTTTTCTCTAAGGGAAAAATATAATAATTTATAACAAATAATCCTAGATACAATTTGATAAAGGAAAAAAATCTTAGATGAGATCTTTGTTCCGTGGAATGTCTGTGTTCCATCTTGAAAAGATGTGCAAACTCCAGTTGTGAAATAAGATCTTGGGAAATAAATTCTTTTTGGGTAAAAGGAAGAAATTGTAGAACAGTGGAGAGAACAATAGACTGAGGCTCAAGAGTATAGTGTGGGTTGTTTTTGAAGAGCATAGACTTTGAAGATAGAAAGACATGGCTCAAATCCTGAATTGCCAGTTCATTGGCGACCTAACTACGCGTGTATTCCATTACTGTTGACTCAGATTTTTATCTGTGAAAAGAAGAAAATGGTCCTGTTGGGTTGTTCTGAGACATCAGGTATCTAGTTCAGTGCCTGGCACCTGATAGACTCCCTGTAAATAGTAGCTGCTTTTATCAGCATCAGAAAGCCCTGGTTTAAGTTCTGGTTTTGCTGCTGTGTGATCTTGGGCAAATGGTTTTGCTTCCCTGATCAAGTTTGTAATTCTTGGCCATACCTCCCTGAGAAGAATGTTGTGAGATGAATGCTGAGAATCATGGTGCTGTTGTGCGCATCCATCTCGAGTAGGGTAAAGAGCACCAGAGGTAAAGCTTGGCTGTCTAGATTTTAATCTGAGCCCTGACACCAGCCATTTGACTTTGGACAAGTTACGTTATTTCTTGGGTCTTAGTTTTCACATTTATGTTATGAGGATAACTGCAGAACCTACCCCATCGGATTGTTGTAAGAGTTGTATAATTTAATGCATGAAAGTGGCTGGCACATTATACTTTTGGTATATATTAAGTATTAGTGACACTTGAGTCACTTTCAGAGGAATTATTAATGCTGATACTGCAATGTATTACAAAGCAGTGTGGTATAAAAGAGCAAGCATGAGCTTCGGCATTAAGACAGACTAAGGTTCAAATTTTTACTCTATTTCTCAGTCTTTTAGAGAGCCTGATAATGACAGTACTATTATTTACCTCTTATGGCAGTTGTGAGGGTTAAGTGACCTCTTGCCTTCTTATTACAGTGGTAAGAAACTCAGTAGAGGGTAATTCCATTTTCCTGATACTGGAAAAGTGCAGTGGGGATAGTAACTCAGCTAGGAAATCATGACAGAAGCTGTTTGTAATCCATGATTCATCTTTAAGCTCTTTAAGACCACCCAGGTATGGACATTTTATTCTTTTACTTTCTCAAGTTGAGGAACCAGGAAGATGCTTCCTTTTGACTTTCCCCTCTCTCTCTTTTGCTTGAAATGGACAACTATCATGACTATTACTAACACTTACTAAGGGCTGACATCTACCAAGTACTTTGCCACATATTACTTCACTTTATCCTTCCAATAACCCTGAGGTTGAACAGTATCCCTATCCATAGATGACTAAACTAAGGCTCAGAGAGATGAAGTGACTTGCTTTAAGATTACATGACTCATAGGCAATTGAACAAAGGCTTAAATGGCCCAATTCACTCCACCTTAAAGTCTTCCCTGAGAACCAAATGTGAACCTTTCACTGTACCTCCTGGGGGCCTGTATCCATCTGTTGAACCTGCCAGGATAGAAAAATGGAACTCTTGGCATCCACTCTAGCTTGAAATAGGCAAACTTGCCCTCTAAACTTGGAATCTGAGTGGGGCAGGGCAAGCTGACTCCTTGTCAGGCAAGAGTGCTTTAGCTAAGACAGCAGGTTTGCAGAGGCAGACCCTTAATCTGGTGGCAGGTTTTTACCTTGACCCGCTTAAAAACTGTTTCCATGTGGTTTTGGAACAGACAGAACCAGTGGCAAAAGTGGTCTCCACAGTGGCTGCGTGTTTCAAGGTAACCACTGGCAGATGAGATAGTAGTAGAGGATGTAAATTCCTGGTTTATGTAGGCAGATGCCTTGGGTTTCCCTCCAGGACAATTCTGTTAGGTTCTATCACAGTACACTTTTATACTATTTTCACATGCGAAGCCTACATTTTGTGCATGCGTATTGGGTAATTGAGTGTTTATCTGCTCAATTTGCATTACAAGCATACTGACATTTTTATGTGTAACAGACGTGACTGTCGTACTCTAGAAGACTGATACGATTTCAGAATATGGCTTTATGATAATACCGCAAATGGTAAGCCCTTTTGGTTGTGTGCAGAGTTTTGCAAATACTCAATTAACGGCAAAGGAAA